TTAGATTTTGCTCACTTTGTGTAGACATAGATACTGTAAAAAAAAAAAACAAACAAACAAACAAACAAAAACGATCGAAATGTAATTTCTGTTTCGTTAATCAAATATTTTCTCTCGATTTAAGTTCTTTTGACATATTTATGCTATGAACTCTTAACTTATTAACAATAAGTTTTTTTTTATTTATAACAATGAAGTTTCCATTATTGAGGGTATCTGTTAGTTGTACCTTCACAAAGTAGACCAGTCCATCCAGGAACACACCCTGCTGAACAAAACCCTGTCTGGTTACAGGTTTTACCAACGCAATTGGAACTGCATGGCTCTGAACATTGATCTCCGTAATATCCCTGAATACAATCTTAAAAGCCCAGTAAAAAGCTTTGTCAGATATTCATTATTAAATATCATCTAATCATTTATTATAATATCATTTAATTATTTGCCTTTTTCATCTGGAAACGAAAAGTTGGTGTAACTGAATATTAAATGTAAAAGTAGGAGAGAATTAAGAACGATATACATTTACCTTTGCACAATCCGTCGTCTTCCCTACAACCCCTAACCCCACATTGAGCATTACAACTCTCATTACAGTAAGCACCACGTTGTCCTGGAACACAACCCAATACGCATTTTCCACTCCTAAACTCACACGTGCTATTCAAACAGCCGCTTGGACACAGGATCAGACAATGGGGACCATACGATCCCGGCCGACATCCGGTCTTGCATTTCCCGCCAATTTCTTCGCAAATACCACCTGTACAATTGTCTGGACACGGATTTTCACAGAGATAATGTTCACGTTTGGCATACCATCCTTTCTGACAACCCCATTTACAGTAACCAATGGTACCATCACACATGTTTCCACCTTGACAGTGTTCACAGGGTTTGCACAGACCGGAATATAATTCTTTATAATAACCTAATTCACAGGTTTCGCAGACAACATATGGCTTATTCTTATTGTCTAAATATTCTTTACATGAATTGCAGTGAGGGAAATGTAGACTGCAATTATAGTCACAGTTTGGCAAATGCCAGCCCTTTTTGCAACCATTCTGACATTCCCCCGTTTCGTTGTTACATGTTTCTTTAACACCTTCTAAGCAGTGTTCACTACAAGGTTCCAGGCAATGCTTACCAAAATAACCATCTTTACATTCGTTGATACAACCAGTTTGATTACAAAGAAGATCACCAGAATTCGAACTACAGTAATCACTACATGGACAGCATCCTTTTTCTTGGGGATACCAACTTGTCTCATTTTTACAACTTGAACAGAAACTCTCTTTGTTACTTGCACATTGTGATAATTCACATCTACATTCTTCTCCAAAGTATCCAGAATTACATACCTTACATTTTCCATCACGTTCACAATCAGTACACCGTATCGGACATCTTTGTTTACAGTCTTCACCATAGAACCCTGTTTTACATGTATCACAAGTATTGTTATCCGAACACGTTTCGCAGACAGAATTACACGTTCCTTCACAATAAGGACCGTGATAACCGTGATCGCATTTTCCACACTTCCCTGTATGTTGTGAACAATACGGATGACTGCAGTGTTCAGTGCATTTTTTATCACAGTGTTCCCCCCACCAACCATGATAGCAATTAAAACAAGTTGTGACGTCAAACTGACACAAGCTACAGTGCTCATAATTACATCTTTCCTCGCATGTTTTCCCGCTGTATCCATCTTTACAAGTCTGACAAGTTCCGTCTTTTTGATGACATGAAGTAAACCCACAGTTCTGTGGGCAAGACTTGTTGCACATCGTCCCCCAAAACCCTGAATCACATCCCCAACCAGTACAGTTCCCAGTGTGCCTTTCACATCCGTTTCGACAATTCGGTGATGGACATGTCAAATTACAAGTCATTCCGTAAAATCCTTCGTTACATTTATAACAATCTCCGGAAATTCTGCATCCAACCATGCAGTTTTCATTACATTTAAATTCACAGCGTTTCCCATAATGGCGATCATGGCAGGAAACACAGTCACCACTAAGTTTATCACAATCAAGACACTGTGGACATTCCTGCTCACATTTAGGACCGAAAAATCCATGGGCACATTGACCTGAACAATTTCCAGAGGAGTGGTCACAGCCATACCAACAATTTGTGCAGTTATCTGTATTTGTAAAAATAATCTGGAATTTGTATTGCAATGTACATTTATTGCAAAATATTTCAATAACTCATTTTTGAGGTTGGTAAGCAACATATATTAAGAAGGGAGTTTCATCCACCAAATTCAATTAAGTTCCGTTTTCTTGTCACTTATCATATATTACATGATAAACACTATATATCAGTATATAAATAAAAGGAAACTTACAGATGGAATCAGCGCCAGAGAAATTATATGCACTCCAGTAAACTGTAATCAGAACAAAATAAATGCATAAAATCGAAAACTTTACAAACATTATTAAGAACAAATCTATAATTAACCCTACAGTGTAAAGTGCTAAAAAATTTAAGAAAATATTATGGGTAGTGGAGTGGGGTAAAAAACACCCCTCGATTGACACAAATACCTAAAAGTCCTATTTCTGAATGATAACGATGGAACGTACAGATCAGCAAATTAAACTGTTGTCTATACAGGTGAGATAATTTTTGTTTTGATAGGAGAAGTTATAAATCAGTGCAAACTTAAGACAAGGGCATTTTGGTTTTCTAATATACATTTAAATGGGAATAAGAATTTATAGGCCAGGAAACCAACCTACCATGGTATTGTGTAAGACTAAAGAATTTTTCTAAGTGCATTGAAAATAAATACTTCACAGGTACACATTAACAAGAGCAAATATTGTCCGGACCTGCGTCTCCTGAAAAAATTTTGACCTAAAGAAAATCCATTCCTATTTTTCTTATTTCATCCAAAATAGGACGTACACTCACGTACTTTGCAAAGTTTCAATAATATGGAATTAAAACTGTTGGAGATAAGATTACACAAACAAGATACCCCCTTTGCGAGACGAACTGACAGACGGACAGTGAAGCAGTTACTAGACTTTCGGAAACATTTGTCGACGCAAGTACAAGTAACACCAAGTGTATCATATATGTTTTTATCAAAATATTTTTTGCTCTTTTTCAAATTGGACCTGTTATATGACATTTTTTCTACATTTACAACGAGAGTGGCGAAAAATGAAGCAAAATTAAAATATATAAAGTATAAGATACCCAATAAAATGTAAATCCAAGTGTTCCATGTAGATATCAAGATGATTTGTGCCACTAAGCAACTAACCTGGGATTAAACAAACACGTTATCACGATAATCAACATAAACATAGAAACAGCTGTATGGCCGGTTTGTTTACACTTTTTAATTTCTTTATTTATATGAAACAAGATGTGCTCGTGAAACACTGATGCCCCCGTATGGCAACTTATAGCAATGGTTAAACTTTCTCAAATGCAAATCAAATATGTTGGTACCCAAAGTAAGGTCTTGTCTCGAGAAATAAACCTTTGAAATATGAAAGTCCTAGCGGCAACCATTGAATAGATATGGAAAAGGTTAAAAAGTTTTTTCAAAAGTATGTCAAGCATCAAGGCAAAGATCAAACGGTCAAAATTAATGGTGCTCAAGGAAAGGCCTTCTCCCAAAAAATAAACAGGTAAAATATGAAAGCTGAAGCACCAATCGTTCAAAAGTTATGACCAAGGTTAAAGTTTTCCAAAAGTAGGTCAAACTCCAAGGTCAAAGTTGTTGCTATCCAAAGAAAGGTCTTATCACAAGGATTAAACATGTGAAATATGAAAGCCATAGCACTAACCGTTCAAAAGTTATGGCCAAGGTTTAAGTTATTCAAAAGTAGGTCAATCTTCAAGGTCAAAGGGTCAAAGTTGTTGGTATCCAAAGAAAGGTCTTATCACAAGGATTAAACATGTGAAATATGAAAGCCCTAGAACCAATTGTTCAAAAGTTATGGCCAAGGTTAAAGTTTTTCCAAAACTGGGTCAAACTCCAAGGTCAAGGTCAAAAGGTCAAATATGGTGGTACCCAAAGAAAGGTCAAGTCACAAGAAATACAGATGTGAAATATGAAAGCCATAGCTCCAACCAATCAAAAGTTATGGGCAAGGTTAAAGTTTTTGCGGACAAACAGACAGACGGACGGACAGGGCAAAAACTATATACCCCCCGAATCTTCGATACGGGGGCATAAAAATAACCTCAATTTGATGAATTGATTTACATAAAATTCTTAATATTCAATAACAACGACATTCTTCATAATCTGTGTTTGCAACATGGGCTCGAGCTCTGTTATTATTTATGTTAAATTTTATCGGGTGTGTTCGATTTGCTAACACTGTAAACATCACTGAATACGAATAAACACTGGCGTGTTGGTTTTGCTTTTCTAATTATGGTTTAATTATTTTTTTACTTTTATTATGCCCCCGTATCGAAGATTCGGGGGTATATAGTTTTTGCCCTGTCCGTCCGTCTGTCTGTCCGCAAAAACTTTAACCTTGCCCATAACTTTTGATTGGTTGGAGCTTTGGCTTTCATATTTCACATGTGTATTTCTTGTGACAAGACCTTTCTTTGGGTACCACCATATTTGACCTTTTGACCTTGACCTTGGAGTTTGACCAAGTTTTGCAAAATTTTACCAAAATTTAACCTTGGCCATAACTTTTGAACGGTTGGAGCTAGGGCTTACATATTTCACTTGTGTAATCCTTGTGACAAGACCTTTCTTTGGATACCAACAACTTTCACCCTTAGACCTTGACCTTGGAGTTTGACCTACATTTAAAAAACTTTAACTTGGCCATAACTTTTGAACGGTTGGGGTTAGGGCTTTCATATTTCACTTGTGTAATCCTTGTGACAAGACCTTTCTTTTGGATACCAACAACTTTGACCCTTTCACGTTGACCTTGAAATTTTGACCTACTTTTGAAAAACTTTAACCTTGGCCATAACTTTTGAACGGTTGGTCCTAGGGCTTTCATATTTCACATATTTAATCCTTGTGACAAGGCCTTTCTTTGGATACCAACAACTTTGACCCTTTGACCTTGACCTTTGAGTTTGACCTACTTTCAAAAAAAAATTTAACCTTGGCCATAACTTTTGAACAATTTGGGCTAGGGCTTTCATACTTTGCATATATAATCCTTGTGACAAGGCCTTTCTTTGGATACCAACAACTTTGACCCTTTGACAAGAAAACCTTTGAGTTTGACCAACTTTCAAAAAAAATTTTAACCTTGGCCATAACTTTTGAACAATTTGGTGCTAGGGCTTTCATACTTTGCATATATAATCCTTGTGACAAGGCCTTTCTTTGGATACCAACAACTTTGACCCTTTGACAAGAAAACCTTTGAGTTTGACCAACTTTCAAAAAAAATTTTAACCTTGGCCATAACTTTTGAACAATTTGGTGCTAGGGCTTTCATACTTTGCATATGTAATCCTTGTGACAAGGCCTTTCTTTGGATACCAACAACTTTGACCCTTTGACCTTGACCTTTGAGTTTGACCAACTTTCAAAAAAAATTTTAACCTTGGCCATAACTTTTGAACAATTTGGGCTAGGGCTTTCATACTTTGCATATATAATCCTTGTGACAAGGCCTTTCTTTGGATACCAACAACTTTGACCCTTTGACCTTGACCTTTGAGTTTGACCTACTTTCAAAAAAAAATTTAACCTTGGCCATAACTTTTGAACAATTTGGGCTAGGGCTTTCATACTTTGCATATATAATCCTTGTGACAAGGCCTTTCTTTGGATACCAACAACTTTGACCCTTTGACAAGAAAACCTTTGAGTTTGACCAACTTTCAAAAAAAATTCTAACCTTGGCCATAACTTTTGAACAATTTGGTGCTAGGGCTTTCATACTTTGCATATATAATCCTTGTGACAAGGCCTTTCTTTGGATACCAACAACTTTGACCCTTTGACCTTGACCTTTGAGTTTGACCTATTTTTGGAAAACTTTAACCTTGGTCATAACTTTTAAACGATTGGTGCTTCAGCTTTCATATTTCACCTGTCTATTTCTTGGGAGAAGGCCTTTCCTTGGGCTCCATTTATTTTGACCATTTGACCTTGATCTTGATGTTTGACATACTTTTGAAAAAACGTTAACCTTTTCCATATCTATTCAATGATTGCTGCTAGGGCTTTCATATTACACAGGTATATTCCTCGAGACAAGACCTTACTGCTTTGGGTACCAACATATTTGATTTGCATTTGAGAAAGTTGAACCTTTGCTATAAGTTGCCATACGGCGGCATCAGTGTTTCACAAACACATCTTGTTGATCATAGTTTTAATATATTTTATTGATACACCACAGATTTTCCACTTTCCCTAAATATTATGGATAAAATTTAGTTTGTGAAATGTTGTAATCAAAGATATCATGATCTTTCATTAGTGAAAGACCTCGAACATTTAGAAGTCTAAAAATGACATCTTATCGTTGAGAAGGTAAATCTTACCGTACGACCACGTTCACATTTTGTGTAACGTAAAATATGTTGTTGTTTTAAATCCTTCTCATAGGTTTTTTTTATGTAAATAGTGTTTTCTTCATGCTATCCCTTTGTTTTGCTTCCAAATACATGTATGACTGGAGCTTTGGTGATCGGCTACCCCGCATTTTAATTTATTTCCTAATGAAATATGGCGTGTTGAGCTTTATAATTTTTCAGTTTCACCATAAAGTAGCAATGACTTGTTCATGAAAATGTGTCCATGTCCAGTTTAGGCCACCAGCTGACAACTTATTTTTCTGACAAGTCGATATATTATCTGACAAGTCAACATAATTTTCTGAAAAGTTGACAATAATTTATTCTACAAGTCGACATCATTATTTGACAAGTCGACATAACATCTGACAAGCCGATTTGTCAGAAAATGATGTCGACTTGTCAGAAAAATATTTTTTGTCGAAAATTACGTCGACTTTTAAGATATTATGATAAGTAGTTGTCAGTGGCTAAATAACATACTGTAATAACAAAATACCGAGTTCCTGGTCGTGATGATTTTTGTCTGACAAATCGACATTGTTATCTGACAAGTCAATATAAACATCTGACAAGTCGACATAAACATCTTACAAGTGGTGGCAGAAGAAATATGCCACCAGTTTTATAAATACCGAGTAACTGTCATGTATGAGTTATCTCTCTTATCAGAGTATCAATGAAACATGCATGTATTTCGGCAGATTCGAAAAGCAGTTCCTACAGTTTTTGGTCTGATTTCAACAAAAACCAAACTAAACAGGAATTTAGACTAAATAAAAATAAATAAATAAATTAAAAAAATCATTTTTATTTAGTTGAACGATGTTGACATAATTACGATAATAGAATTATTGGTAAAGTTCAGTTAAAATTCTAATTATTGCCAGATTTCAAATGAGCTTGGAATACCAGTAGATTTCGTCGACGCATAAAATTCTGTCTATATGACATGTACACAGGCACTTGTCATAGTGGAAAGAGAGAGGAGGGGGTGTCCTGTATACGAAACAAGTGTCTGACGTGTGTAGTATGATTTACGTATTTCAAGATGTTTGTGTCTTTGCATATTTGCATTTTAAATAAACATTGTTGTCATTATAAAAAAAAACGGAATTTAAAAAATCATTTCAAAATATGAATCTAGTAGTAAGTTTTCTGTGAAACCCTGACACAGTCTTTTCGATGTTTGATTTATATAGCGAGAGGTGTCGCATGTTAGAGAAAGAAGTAAACATTAAAAATATCAGAATTAACATTGTTTACTTTCTGAAGATTTTTAAAACTTCTCAAGACGAGGGCTTATATATAAAAGATAAAATGATTTGAATGAAATACATGCAAGTATGATAGGCTTATACATACTCGTATAAGTATATATGGAATATTTATACGTAATATCAATACTGACTGTGTTGTCTAAGGCAAACAGTTAAGCTCTTTTGAATAAATTTGAGCTGAAATTAAATGTGTATTTGTAAAAATATTTTCTTTTCATTAATCTAGTTTTCTGAATATTTATGTTTGAAAGGATTAAGTTGGATTTGAAATGTACATGTACTTTTATTTATTTTTAATTCGATGCTAAATCCTTGTAGACAAAACAATTTACAACTAAAAATAACACTGAGATAACATTTTTGCACTACTTGTACTTCTCGCTCTTGTCAGAAAAAAATCACGCAGAATTGTCTACCAATACATTTCAGCAAAATCGTTGATATTTTGCATAAGTAACATACAAGACATAATCATTCTAATATACAAAATATTTTGTTGATATACATGTATGAAGGAAAGTCATCCCTCGAAGCGCCGCCTATTTTTGCTGTCAGACCTCACGTCTGACCTTAAAAAATTAGGCCACTTTTTAATGGAAATTACCACGATTTCTGAAGAAATTGTCGATAAATGGACCATAAATGGTCTATTTAGCAAATTTTACGTAAATTCAATGTAAAAAAATCAATCTTCTTAGATATTTCGTTAATGCTATTATCAATACATGTATTAGTATTGCTTCATGAAACCTTTATGGTAGGTTAAGAAAATACAACATTAGCAAACTTGGCAGAAAATCAAACCTATCATAATAATAGACCCCAAAACATATATATATGTATCATCTTAAAAATCAATTTTAGGTCATTTTTTCATAAAACCTCTATCATACATGGAGGTACAAAAATACAAAAATATCAAGCACGGTAAAAAAAAAACAACCTAAAATTGATTTTTAAGATGATACATTTATATATGTTTTGGGGTCTATTATTATGATAGGTTTGATTTTCTGCCAAGTTTGCTAATGTTGTATTTTCTTAACCTACCATAAAGGTTTCATGAAGCAATACTAATACATGTATTGATAATAGCATTAAGGGAGTATGGTACTGACAAGTCCTAATTTCAGAGTAATTAAAACTCTAAAACATCCACATAAAATGAAAGAAGTACCTTTATATATTTCATAAAATATTATAAGAAAAGGTTCTAGTGAGTAAATCAAAAATTATGACGCACTAAAATAAGGGGGGTAACTCTGTATGATAAAGTGATATTTTTATAACCAATTTTTAAAAAAATTGAGAACAACAATAAAAACAACATAAAAATATTTTTTTGAAAAAGATGTCATCCACAATATTGAAATTTTAATTTCAAAACAAAATAGTGCAAGAAAAAAGCCAAAAAGACAAATTAATTTTGATTCATTTATATCATGACAATTTATTGGGAAAATGGGTTCATGTATATGTACAACGTATTTTTTAATAATGAAAGAATAATTAAAAGTTTGATATCTTATGCTATATTTATAGTGATTTGCTTGCTTTACAAATTGCTAATAAAAAATTATAATGTTAGTGTGTAGTTTTGGAGTAATGTGCTCCAAAATTTCCTGACCCGAATTTCCTCTGCTCAAAAAGCTGTTATAAAATGTTAAAATAATGAGATTGCAATTTATTTACTTGCTTATAGTTTCTAACTCTCCTGATTTTGTCGTTTTTTCATTAAGATAACAATTATTTCAGAAGATAATTGGAAAAATTGAGTAAACATAAAAACCTTATTTCTTCTTAACCAAAAAATCTAGTAAATACATGATTAAAAAAAAAATTTATCCACCCCTCTCCTATGGGCTATCAAAAATATTTTTCGTCATATCTTATGCCATATAATCAATTAGAATATAACTGAGGGGTTGGGGATTTATATTTCTATTTGATTGTCAGATTCTATCGCAGTCTTATTATACGTGATTTTTTTTCTTTGCTGTCAAATGCATGAACTACAATGCTAGTAGCAAATAAATAGCTGACCACTCTTAGATTTATTTACATCTTTAATGAAGCAAAAGGGAGGCGATACATGCTTTCATTGGAACACTCTGGTTGATATTATATAACCATAAAATTCTTGAATAATTTTCTTAGCATTGAAAAGGGCAAAGATAACAAAGAGTTATCTATCTCAAAAAATCTACAAACAATACAAATCTTTGAAAAGGACGTCGACATAAAACATGGACTCCTGGAAATTCCAGAGGTGGGATCAGGTATGTAGGTTTAATAAGCATTTGCCCTTTCAATTATGCTACAAGTATTTACAGTGTTAAATTATCATAGGTGATTAGCAAAGGGGAATAATTTCTCTCAGTAAAATACAAAATAGAGCCCTGTCCAGAATTTCAAAAATCTGGTAAAAATAACCTTAAGGGTTTGGTTTTGTGTTCATCGAAGTGAAACTCGTACGAAATAAAAATCTCAATATTTTAATAAATACTTCTTGCTTACTCTTGAAAACTGACCTATGACACCTTCCATTGGAAAGCTGTCTTGATATGTATGCAGTTTGATTGTCACTTGCAGTGTCATGCAGCAATAATGTGCATATTACACTTGCAGGACTGCACAGCTACAGGTCTAACAAAACAATAACATGACATTTGTTGTATATGTGCAGATAGTTGAACGTCATGGGTACAACCATTTGTTTCGTTCCTAACAATACTGTGCGTACTTTTTCCATAACTGTCTGTTTTTCATCAACTAGGCATGTCCGCCATGCGAAATCGGGGGCCTGCCATTCCCGTATTGAAACCAACTGACTATTTCTGTAATCTGATGTCTCTAGTACCTCGATTACACAAAGCAATTAGAGAGATATTTCGTTAAACATCTCCAGCTATTAGAATGTTTCGATCTAAATGTTTAATATTGTTTATTATAAAAGTAACATCGATGTTTACGTCATATCAGGGAATGCTCCGTCTTCGATTTTACAATGGACAGATAAATTAATACGCGCCCAGTTTTAGCAGTTCCGACTGAATTTAACGTTTGTTATTTCTTTTGCAGGTAAGGCTGTTAATTACCTTTTATCAAATTAGCATATTAATCCTACAAATGTAGGACAATGTCATATAATATTGAAAAATATTGCACGAAAATTAAGAACTATAATCACTCAGCGTAGTTTATTTCTGAGGTCTGTCATGCGATATTCGGCTAAAGTGAAAGTAGGAGCTGGTAAGTCGACTTGTTGTGTTTATTGTGATTTATGAGCCTTATCTCAGAAATACGATATAACTCCTAGTATCAGTAATACATTTTGAGTGTGACAACGCCTGCGATCTAATGCACATCAATTTTAAAAAGGTTAAACGTTATACAAAGAATCTGAGAATTTCCAAGTGTTTCTTGCAGACCACAATTTGGTAGCGGGCAATATTTAAGGTTCCTCTAATAAATGTTACTATGTTTCAAAATACTAAAAGTATTCGTCATTGTATAAAAATATAGTTCAGTCAAAAACAGGGTTTCAAATATTATGAGTAGAGTAAAGAACTGAATTTTGTTTTCATTAATGAGCGATTTTTGTGTAAGATCCTTCATTGAGCCTCAGACACACCAAGTTAAATGTCCAATGACGGCTAAGTGAAGTGGCTCGATCTACGTAGTACACATATATGGTAAATCAGATGTGTTATTATTTTGTAAATCAAAATTTTGATATTCAAATTTTATTGCTTTTTTGTTTTACTTTTTGTAAAAGAGATGCAAGTATTATTGATTATTTATATAAATAATTTTCACATAAGTTTGTACTATGTATACAAACCATCATTTTGGACTTGGACCTTCTGATTTGCAGATTAGTGCAGTATATGTAGTTCTCATGGGGAAAAGTAAATTAAACGATAAAAATTTTCAAGGATGTCAACTTAATTTGCTTATTGCTTGATATGTAAATTGTTCAATGTTCATCAAATGAAGAGATTGCAGCAAAATTGAAAAATAGGTTTTTTTAAAGATGAAAATTGCATAAAGTATTAATAATTAATATTCTCTAGTTGAAATGGTTAAGATTGAAAACTTGAATTTCTGCAACGGCATTGGTTTCATCAAAAAGGGAGTATAATAAGGGGGTCTTACCTGATCTTAAGTTACCATTGAGCATGCTGAATCAAATGCTACCAAGCATGTTTATTTTTAATTGAATGTTCATTTTATGAAAGTTTTTCATATGCTCAATTAG